AGGAGTGGGATCTAGTGTGATCGAGCTGCATCAAAGTCCTCACGTTGAAGGCCCCCAGGTTCAGTGATTGACGAGACTTTAGAATCTGCGATCCATTTTGTGGTAAATTACTTACAGTGCTATTTGGCAACGATCTTTGGCGAGCGACATCCAAGTTGATTAAGGGACTATTACAGGTCGGTAGAAGGGGTAAAAGGATAGGGTTGGGTACGGGAGAAAAGGAGTTAAACAAAGTTGGGATATCTGAGCAGTAGCTCACTTATCACTACCCACCCAGCTTGATGCAATGGGCAGAGAGGTCCTGACTATTCGGCGAAACGACCGATGCAGTATGGAATTATTTTTATTTTGTGTATGTATTGGGGTTTAGTGGATGGGTAGTGCTAGGGTGTCCAACCACTAAGCAGGAGAACGATTAGGGTTCCCAACTAAAGCCTTTAGTTTTGACAAAACCCTTACCACCAGGCAGCGGGTGAGGCGAAGTGGAAGCCCATTTACTTGGATCGATTACTCCTCCACCGCTTTTTACCGAATGAAACGCCAATTCCAGGGGAACCCTCAACCTGGAGGACCAGGAGACTGAACTTCGTCTGACCCAACCCAACTACAAAACCATTGAATCATAGTAATGATTCTTCAGTGGACTGGCTCTGAAAGAGCTATCTGTTCAATGGTCACCCGGTGTTGCAAACAAGGTTATTGTAGCGAATATATATATATGAATTAATATATATAGAGAGAGAAAGAATTTAACCGGTGGAGAAAACCGGTTTCATTCTTGTCCAGACTCATCAGCAGAGCACAGTGGGTTTCTTTCCCCACCGGGACTCGAATTGCAAACCTTCGGTTCAGTGGTAGAAATCATGGTTACTGAGCCAGGCGGTTGACGGCAAACAGTTTGAGCGAGCACCTAGATCCATTTTGAAGTTTTACGGTTCAAATTTTCGGGAACTAGGAATTGTGTAGACAATTGTTCGGCGCTGACTATTTGTTTCTTATGGTTACTGTGGGAAGATAAATAGAGTGTTTATTTTGTGTAAGTTAATTATCTGGGAGTCTTATCAATTGCAATGCAACAGAAACCCGGGTGTCCGGAAGTGGGAAACCACAATGCACAAATTTATAATATATCTGATATAATGCGAAATCGAGGAGATCTGAGGGCCTTAAGTGGTGGAAAATTTTGTCCTCATTTAATTTCTCATAAGCGAATAAAATTGTGTCGTCTACAGCAAAACTGTAATCAGCAGTAGGCCGTTAAACTCCTGGAAGCTTGCGTGTAAGCAAAAGTGAAGGAACATGTTCCATCGAAACAAGGGAATAATGATGATGGTGATAGTATGCGAGAATGGGATTTGAACCGCGGACGTTCGGAGTGATATGACAGTGAATACAAGCGGTCGTGTAACAATTATTACCCGGATTGATGGATCAGAACAGTCTCACTCGGACAAATTATCATGTGATGTGGTGCAGGAAATGTGTTTAGTCTCCAATCCCTCATTTTCTACAATGTCCCTCTGAACCTTTGTGATCAGGCATGAATGCATCTTACGGCCTCAGTTTTTGTGCTGTGCACAATGGTGATTTGAACAGTGGCCTGGGAAAAGGTAGATTTCATCCCATAAAATGGGTCCCATAAGGTGCGAAATACTTTTATCGTATCTCTGGACAGCATCATGAACTTTAGTCTTAATACAAAAGTTAGGCGGTTTGCGTATATTGGTACAGGAAGACTACGCCTAGGTCCGCAGAGGGCGACTCCACGGTGAATGGGGGTTACCAAAGCTCACCTGGCTGGGGGACAGTCATGAATACGTGCGTCTGCGGAAATGTAACCGGTCGGCTATCACAATTCTCCTCCGCTGAATCACTTGTAGCCCACCTGGTGACGTTCGCTGGTTTCAAATTACCACAGTAACCTGCATAACTCATAGTGTTATTCTCATATCACATTTTTAAGGCAATCAGGAGTTCCAAACAGTCTGCTTAGTTTTGTAGTTTCTATTTACCAGCATGAACTCTTAGGTGATTCACATTTAGACGCAGCGCCATCCCGTCTTCCAAAGTTGCTTGATTCACTCGACTACGACTGAACGTATTGAGTCCAGGTACTGGGGTTTTGTTTGCAGTCTAGAGTTGGACATGTTCATTTTCTTCCTCATTCAATATCCATGAAGGCAGTAATATCATTTTCTCGATTGTATTTGAACTTGGATGAATCCGAATAACATAGTTCTGGTAAAAACCAATTCCATTTAATGGCATTGTGGGAATTGTTATGCAAGTTCGGTTTACCGAATCCATGGATGATTTTGACACTCATCCAAGGGGTCCCCAGTGGGTAACGTTTTGAATGTCAAATACTCTTGCCGGGAATATGTTATATATACTAATTCAGGCAGAATATTATATATATGCACACATTACCGACAATAACAAATAAGGAAGCGAAAGTTTTGAGGTAATTTGAAAAACTTTGAGTGATCCGTGACAAGTTGATTCAGTTTATTTTTTTCCGGTAGTGTAATAAGACTACAGGACGTCGCGCTGTTCTTGATCGTGATTCCTCCTCAAACCAAAAATATCTGCCAATTATAAAAGGTCATACCATCTGATACAACGTCAATCAAAACTCTTGGCAAGATCTGTTGATTGCGTTCGCTTTGTCAAACCTACTGTCGATAAACAATGAATAAAATGTTTGACATCAATAATTGAATCACTTAAATGCTACTAAACAATGTACGAAGGAAGAGGAACACATTGATCGGGTTCGAGCTCGCGCGTGAGCAACAGGCTACTTCGCATAGTAAGTATCACACAGGTGAATGGGTTAATGTAACAGAATACGTAATGACTAAATCGGACCTGAATGTTACCTTTGGATATCCCCCCTTAAGAGTAGTTTCACAAAGCTTTCAAAATGACTTTCAATTATAGTCTCAATTGATTC